ATTGATCTGATGTCCACCAAAGACATTGGAAATACTCCCTTTAACTTCAATAATTTAAGAATTAGAGCATATGAATTTTTGAATTTAGTTAAACATTCAAGTTTTTTAAAATCAGGTTTGTTTTTGTTAAAATTTTAACTATAATAGTTAAATGAAATATTTTTTAAAAAACAAAAATTAAATTGACTATGCCAGGTCAACATGAGAAACTTAAAATACTGGCTTCTGCAGCTAACTCAGTCATCTTCACCTTCATTTTCCTGTTTGTTCTTAATCTGGAAAAGAAAAACAAGCTTTCTTGCTTTTTCAGGTCCCAAACAATTCCTCAGTTTGGAATGAATTAGTCCAAAGGAAGAAAATATTCTTTCTACACTGGCAGAAAAGCTACTGCTGTTAAAAGTGAGATTATCACTTCAACAGTCTCTGAATCCAAGTGCTTAAGTGACTTCCACCAGTTCACTGGTGTGATTTTCTTTAAAACATCATCAGCAAACATATATTTCTTGAATGGTTCTCATTCCCAAACTGGGTCTCTTTTACAGCCTGCTGCCATTATACATTTTCCCTTCTAGTGAGAGAATGGTAAGGTAGATCTCAAATCAATGAAGGCTACACTCAGAAAGGTCTCAAGGCTTCTGGAGTATGCTGCTCAAACAGTTTCACTTTTGTTTCTACTGCCTGTCCCTCCCTTCTCACATTTATCTCCAGACTTCTTCTCCTTGTCCAGATCTATTCCGCCCCCAACAATTTTCTATTCATTGAACTTTTTGAAACTTTGCACTTTTAGAGAGAGGTAAGGGACTGACTCTGTGTACACACATTTGAAGAGGATCAATAGGGTTGAGGTCTGTTATTTCTCACCACTATATCTTATTTATTTTAAAATAAATAAATAAATAAATATTTTTTATTTATTTCTCACCTCTATATATTATTTATTTCTTTTTGAGGATACAGACTAACATGGCTGCTACCCTGAAACCTGTATTTATTTTAAAACATTTTTGCTGTTAACAAGCATGTTATCTCTGGAGACACAAATCCGCAGTTTGAGAACTGCAAAACTAAGCATCTCTGATGGTATCTTCTAGACTGAGCACTGAGTCCCATTGGGTAGATAGAAAGATTAATCTAAATAATCTATACAGAAGCCCTGGAAGCCCATAAGATTGGGTCCCTAATCCATGAAATATTGGAACTCATTTACAAAACTTTTCTTAAACATTACATGAATATATTGTCTCGTACTATAGAATTAGAATTTATAATCCCTATTCCATGATGAGATATCTTTGAGCTATAATGTATCTTAATTAAAACTATCTTTAGATAGGTTTTTTCCTCAAAAAGCATTTTATCAAAAATATCTGATTTAAATCAAAGAAATCCGAATGTTTTGATTTTTAAAAAAAAATCATTGATTTTTATCCACCTTGGTTACTATGTTTTGGAAATTTATATGAGCAAGAAGTCATATGATAAATGATATTTCACTTCCTTCAGCATTGATGATTGATTTATAAGGGCACTCAAATAGGTTATTGTTGTTGAAAAGAATTGATTCAATTATAAGACAAAGTGAATGAAGACAAGATGTGTTAGGTTGTATTTTTGTCTACCATCGTTTTCTTTTATTAATTCATGATTTAGAGCTGAAGCCTGCAATGTGAGTGCATTTCACTGGATTCGGGGTAAAGTTTTCAAAATCATCTAAATTCCATTTTCAAAAGATATTTTAGAGCCCATCTCCTACTGCAAGTCAATGGGATTTAGATTTTGAATAGTGTAGGTCACTTTTAAAAATGGAACTTAAGCTCCTAAGTCACTCAGGTGCTTTTGAAGTTTTTACCCCATGCATTTATTAAGTGTTATACAAGCCACAAAATGTACAGTCTCCTTGTATATGTAAACTTTATAAAGAAAAAAGAAATTGTATTATAGTTACAATGTTTTTGCATCCTCTGTTGTTAGTAAACTTTTTAACTGGCTCCCAACCCTGTCTGTTCTAATTGTATTTCACTATAAGTCTTAGTTTTTAGTGAAATCCAGATTTTACTTCTGGAGTCTCTTCAAAGCTTTGTGCAAATTAAAACAATTTCATCTGCTCTACATGTCGCCATACTTCACATTTTCAGTATACTCATAATAGAGAGAAACTCATAATTTTGTATATCCAGCGATCTCTGAGGATCGCTGCCACTGTTGGGATTTGTGTTGGTGATTCACATTGATGCATGAGATGGAACCCAGATGTTGTATAGCCTGTTTCACTATCTCTCTCCCTGCCACTGTCTACCTAATTTTTTCTACAAATTTTGTTATGGTAGGAATGGGTGAGGTTTCCAGCTTAACTTCAGGATCAAAACTCCCATTGAAGTCAAGGGAGTTTTGACTTCTGCATAACTTGGAAGACATTTCCAGGGGTTCTTGAACTAGTGGCATACCCAGATTACATGTGTCCTGGAGAAACACTTTCAATTTAAATATATCTCCGGCATTTTATAGCAGATGAACAGGGAACAATTTACCATCAAGTATATATCCTTGTATGCTTTTCTTTCCTCTTGGAGAAAGGTGCCAGTCATTTGTGTATGTTACAGATTAATTGTTTTTGTTCATGCTGCATTTATGTCTAGAGGAAAAATGTGAGCTAATTTCTTTATGTAATGCATGCAGATTGGGTGGAATTCAGTCCATATGAGATTGGTATGGCGAAGTATGGCACATTTATGCCTCCTGATTTGTTTGGAAGTAAATTTTTTATGGGAACAGTGGTGAAAAAACATGAAGAAAACCCCCTGCACTTCTTCATGGGTAAGTGAATGATTAAAATAAATAAATAAAACAAAACTGACATTTCAATTCTCTTCTCTCAAGTGCTTTTAAATTTGTCTTTCTGTAATCAGAAACAGTCTGACACAAGAATAACCTCTATATAAAAAGTCATATCTTAATAGTCTGGTGGGAACCCACAAGAATGGTTCCATATTCAGTGATGGGAATTTCATGATGTGGTGCACATCTGAGTTTAGGATCTAATCTGTCCCAAAATCTCATTGTTTGTGTTATTCCAATGCATTCTCAAAGTAGAATTAGCTATTTAAATAATTTCATATATGTTTTGTTCTGCAAGTTTCCATTGATTTAGTCATTTTCTTCCCATTTCAGGCGTCTGGGGCAGTGCATTTTCTATATTATTTAACAGAGTACTTGGAGTTTCCAATTCTCATAATAAAGGTCCCACCATGGAGGAAGAATTAGGTAATGTAACAAAAACAAATCTATTAGCCAGCAACTGGTATTAACATTTTAGTGAATTAATAACTGAAACATCACTATCACTCTAGATCTGTGTGTGGGTGTACGACACTATGTTAACCTTTTCTTGCATGTCAAAAACCAGGGAAATTTCACCAATTTACATTGATAGACACCAGCATAGGACTTGGAGGGCAGGGGAAGAGAATAAGTATTGCTTTACTTTTTCAATACTTTCCCCACTTTTATTTATTTGTAGTCTGAATTGGCACCATACTTGACCTGTGTCAGGGCTATTGGAAGAGGAGAGGTCTTGCACATAAATATTCTTTAAACAGATTTTTTTAAAAACATGATGGTTTAAATATACATACACCAAAGTGCTTTTTCTGATTGATGTGGTCAGCTTCAGGAGCCAACAGGCTGCGAACCTGCCCTCATGGCTACCTGCAATTATAATAAATGTCTTTTGAGGATGGGACTGCTCATGTAATTGATAAAGGGATAATGCAGTTTTTCACCTTTTGGTTGCCAGTTCCATTCCATTCCAGGGTGCCCTAAATTCTTACCATCTGATGATAGTTTAGTTTCTGTGAAACTAGTTTAGTGCTCTCCATTCACTTTCTACTGGACAGTGTCCACATCATTGTAGGGAGGGGAATGTTGGAGCTTGATGGTTGTGGTAAGGTACATCTTTCAAAAATGCTAGTTTGGGGTTTTCTAAAAGCTTTTGATATTGGAATGATTTTTACTCCTGTACTGTGTCCAGAGACTGTGGATAGGTGCTCATGAAATGCATTTTAACCACTAAATAAACCAGAATAGTCAGCACCCATGTCCATAGCCTGAGTTGAGTGGATGAGGTTTGGCTGTGCATAAAAACTCCACTATCCCTTCTGTCTAGTAGTTGAGACTATTGCTGGGACAATATGGGGAAGCTAGCTTTGTCATGCTGCTCCTGTCTTGTGGCAAATAGAAGAAATCAGCTTACAGGACTTTCTGCTGGTATAGTTCATGACCAACAAAACTCACTGCATAAAGAAAAAATAATCTGGTTAATATAATAATCTGTCTGAGTTAATTTTTGAGGTTCTGAAAATAGGAACTTAGGCATTAATCAGCAAAACACTTCAGCAGATACTTAAGTTTAAGCACAAGTAGCCCTGTAAGAATCACTAAGTTTACTTATGTGTTTAAAGTTATGCCTGTACTTAATTGCTTTACTAGAACAGGGCATCACTTTGAATTTTTAAAGAGATCTTTTCTCTGGAAAAAAATCCTTAAAAATAACATCTATTTTTTACACTTCCAAATATATTTTTCAACATTTTTCATTAAAACAATCCTTGCTCTTGGTTTGAGATGTTTCCTGTTTGTGAGAATTTTTACAGACAAATACAAAATACCTCAAAGTGAGAGTTTACCATGGAAAGGGTGATGAAACCTGAATATATTATAGTGGCAAAACTATAAAACTTATATGATGGAATCCTACCCCATTAAAGTCAATGACAAAACTTCAGCTGAGTTCAGTGGAACCAGGACTTTACCCAAAACCTATAAGCCACATTGAACATGAGAATTAAATAAGCTATTTCTCATATCTTTTTCTTAAAAAAATACATCTTTGACATTCAAAATCTATATTTGTGGCTTTTAATAGTTTCTTTTTTCGGTTGTTAATTTTTGTCTTGTCAGATATTCTTTGTTATCATCCAAGAATTTGTAACATTTGTCTTTGTTGCATAGTGTTAGCATTGACAATAGTTTAAGTAGTGTCTGAGTAGCTATTTAGTTTTCAAGAGTGAAAATATCTAAGGAGAAAATCTGTAATGATAAACTCTTGTGTGTCTGTATAGATTTCTACAGTGTAATATCTAATCCTACAAGGACTAGTCCTCATAAATAATCAGCATAGTGTTATATGTATAGCACATTTAAATTTAATTTCCACATGCCTTTTGTTAACCTGAATCTCTCTCAATCAAGCTTTCTGTTTTGAGCTAGCAGAAGTATTGGAAATGCATGTTGCTACTTGCCTAATGTTTTAGTTGATCTTATCCTTGATTGGATAATATACTTGGTATAAATGACAATCTCAAACAAAGAATTTTCTACCCAAGACCAACTCTGTCCTGCAATGACAAAAATTTGGTTTATGTCATAAATAACATGGATGATTTTCTTTAGCCAGAGGCAATTGGTTTATGATATCTATTCCATTTTATTCAAAACAATTATGAGAAGACAGTCCTCTTTCGGCTTCAGTTACTTATTACTTGTTTTCACATTTCTAGTATAGACTATTTACATCATAAATTATCTTGGGGAGGAAGGCTGAAATTTTTAAAGGACCTAAAGGAGTTAGGCACCAAATTCCCATAGCTTCAGTAGCAGTTGGGTGCCTACTTTGAAAATCCCAATTTAAATCTTTACACCGAAACAGATGAAGTCAGAATACTGGGAGCTTGGTGAGCTTGTTTCTTCCAACACACACTGCCCACAGTATCAGCTGAAGATGATTTTCCAACACTAGGCTGTTTATAAAATGATTTTCTTATAATTCAGCTGAAGTCAAATAACTAAAGACAATGACAATTGAAAATCCATTTGTTTCAAGAAAGGCTTTCCTTGATTATTTTAAACATAGTTGTTTACTTTAAATGTAGTAGCAGAAATAATTAAAGAAAACAGAGTTTGCTGACTGGAAAATAGTTTTCACGTAAATTAATCTCCTTTATGAGCTATTTGATCTGACTGTGGAATGTATTGCTGCTTTAATTGCACAGCTCTCAAAAACCCTTTACCTTTTTTTTAATATTCTTTTATGGTTTTGGAAAAACACCAAGTAATTTACAGTTTCAGGCTGAGTTTGATTATTTTGGATACAATGATCTTATCCTGATGGAAAATAGATTTTTGCCAAATAGGTACCTTGTGTTCATTCTGTTGATTAATGATGCGAAATGTAAAATGCCTGTTCCTCCACTGAAGTTAATTGCTTTGGCCTAACTGCTGTTTTTTTGTTTTTCATTTTTCCCTATGAAATAGATTTGTATTAAAGTTATGTAATTGTCTTGTTTTCTTTTATTTCCCAGAATGTAGAGGGGTACTTGATATGCACATGGCATTCCCATTACCACAAATTAAAGGCATACATTCGGAGGAGAATATATGGCTTTGTTGTCAGGCTTATTTTCTATTAAAGTAGTTTTATTTTGTGGGCTTGCAAAACAGTCATTAGTTTTGTTATTTTGCTTACAATCTTGGGAAAATCAACCCTGGTATAAGTAGTTGTAATTCACAATGGATGTTAGTGTGCATTGCCCATGCTTATGTCTGGACTGCACTTTAAAATTCCATCTGTTCTTCAGAGGATTTTCTGCCTTGAAAGGAGAATTCCGTTGGATAATGCTGAATTCCTGTGAAAAAGGGCAAACCCATCCTGAACTTTGCAACAATTCCAAACCAGGATCACACAAAATAGATTCTTCAAAGTTGTGTCCAAATGTTATTTGAGTCCCTACAGCTGTCTTGCTTAGTTTTCATTTCCTATCTATCACAAGTACTATACAATGATACACCTTGACACTTTTCTGATCTCCTAGTAAGCTTAGATCTAACAATTTAAGATATTGTATATTTTTTTCAACAGAAAACATTAGACTAAAACATCTTGTGAGCAATGATAGTTCAGACAGTGAAGATGAATCACAGGGACCAAAAGGTAAGGAAAACCCCATGGTCCAGGGCATGTTTTACTTACTATATCTGTTGCACTTTTTCTATATATATACTGTTGATTTGTCTAGCTAAAGCAAGGTGATTGTGATGGCAAAAGACAACTTAGGGACCTTTGTTGCTATCAGTCATGTACATACCCCCCCAAATGGGCCAAATCCTGTTTGACTTACCCATGAATATTGTCCTTTGTAGATCCCATTGATGCCAATGGTAAAATTCTACTGCTTGAGCCAGCAATCTTAAAAAAGTATATGCTTTGGCTTTAGCTTAGTAAGGCCAAGAGACCTGAGCAAGAGACCTGACAGAGGCTTTTCTCTTCATATCAGCCCAGACTGTTCAAGCTGGTAAATAAATGAGCATTCAGAGACTTGTGCCTTAACATCAGCTCAGAAAGCCAGCAGTGCTGCCCTAATGATCCTCACAGAAGCCCACATCTTGACATGAGCCAGTAACCTCATCAAGCCGTATTTCCCACCAAACTGAAGTAAATGAGCTAGCAAGTTCACCAGTGTCTGTGGCTTGGTCATCAGCCCAGTAAGCTACAGATGCCTGTTGATTTCAAAGGGCCCTTAATCTAAAGTTCAGTTGAGTGTGGCTCAGTCTGAGTCCACTATCTTTGATTAGCATTTCCGGTGCTTCCAGATACCGTGTGAGTGACATCAGTATTGCCATGCTGGACCTAAGGCCACCATATTGGGTAAAATATGGAAATTGAACTTGGTGTTTTGGAAAAAGTGACTTAGAGACTTAGGAGCATAATTCTATTTGAAAGGCAGTGGGGCTCAGGCTTCTAAGTGCCTATATCACTTTTGGAAATGGGATTTAGGATCCTAAGTCACTTAAGCACCTTTGAATTTTTAACCATTATCTCCATCTTGCCCAAATAGTTTATCTTGATTTTTATATATGAAAATGTTTTCAACTGGGAATGGGCGACAGGGGATGGATCTCTTGATGATTACCTGTTATGTTCATTCCCTCTGGCATTGGCCACTGTTGGAAAACAGGATACTGGGACAGGTGGACCTTTGGTCTGACCCAGTATGGCCATTCTTATGTTAAAATCTCTTATTCTTTCACGCACCACATCATAGTTGTTAGAGGTGATGTTGATTCTTGTAGAAGAAATAGAGACACCCAAAGCTAACAGGCACTGTTTTAGGTTTTAATGATGGTGCCAGCACTGGCAGGAGGAAAACAAAACCTTTGAAAATGAGGTCTAGTCAAATAAGAAGCTCATCACTTCTCCTTTGACTTGAAATAATGGGGAGGGAGAGATACCAATTTCAGTATTTATTTGCAGATATCCTGCTTCAGTGTCATAGTGTCCAACATAAAGAAAACAATCATTATTTACGGCCTTGTATGTCTGTATGCGGTTTACACAGCTTGATTTGTGACAGTGAACACTGGGGCTTGCCATAATTCTCACACTTCCACAGGATAAGTCTGCAGTAGGACCTGCAGATCAGACTTCCTACTCTTTTGACACTTGCTCTGCCCCTATTTAAATGAAAAACAGCTCATTGTGAACCATGGATTAAAGAGAAAAATGAGAATGCTACACTTGGAACATCGGGCCTGATGCTAAATTCCTTGAACACTCAAAACACCTACAGAAGTTGGTGGGAGTTCGGAGAGCTCAAGGTCATGCCCCACAGGCAGTAAGATTCTTTGCAGGTTTGAATGGAAGCTATAGATGCTCATCACTTTTGGAAATCAGGTTACTTTAATGTAGGTGCTATGCTTTTGATTGCATTTTTAGTTTACTTGGGCGATGTTATCAGAACAATCTTGACCCAAAATTTAGATATTTAATAATTATTTTTTAATAAAGCAAGAGCCATAGAAAAACTTTTGTAACTTAACTATTAAATGCTCAGGTTTCTCTGTTATGCAGATTTGTAGAATTTAAGGTTTAGCTCAATATCTACATCCTTATGTATATCTATATATTCCTTATGGCTGTGAAGATACAGATACAGGCCTGAGTTTTCACACAGGTGAAAGGCTGCTGATCCCCCTTCACCAGCACATGGGGCCCTAAATGCAGCACCACCGCCGTGGTTCCACCTAGCAGGGCCTAGGCCATACAGCAGGAATCTTCCTGGAACACAGGGGCCTAGCATGGTGGGGGGGTGCATTAGAGAGGCCAGTGAATGTGCTATTACATGGATCCACACCCATCCCACAGTGGCAGGAACCCTATCATCTCCACAGTCATGCTATTATAGAAGCAGCAAAGAAGTTAGATGGATGCTCTACAGTTGAGGAGTGAGAATTCCTCTAGCTCCTCTTAAATGCTCTGCGCAGACTCCATTTACTTGAGCTGTGCATGAAAGCAGGGAATGGTTTGGTCCTGGGAGAGATGTGAAGGCTCCCTTTCGCTTCAGTAAGGTGTTGAAGCTGAAGCCTCATTTTGACACTTTTCATGTTAACTGCTGGTCATTTTTTTACACACAGGCTCTGAAAATCTTGAGGCTGCAAAAGAACTTCAAAGTAGCAGTCAAGAAAGCTGGGTCCAGCGCATGCTGATGGCCTTGGTGGGAGATAGTTCCCTTTTCAACACCAGAGAAGGGCGTGCTGGGAAAGTACACAACTTTATGCTGGGCTTGAACCTCAACACATGGTACCCACTCTCCCCTCTAGCAGGCCTGGGTACTCAGGAATCTGTGGAGGAGGATGAAATGGACACGGCAGTCGCAGGTTAGTTCACAAAATATCTGTGCACTGCATTTCTGTCAGTGAAAGAATAAATTGTGAGCTACAATTGTGGGAACATATCATTAGACTGGAATGCTTACAGCTGAACACTTCTGAAAGCAAGAGCATATTTGCACAGGGGCAATCTTGAATATTTACAAGCACGTTGAGGTCCTTAAAATGACTGGCGCTGTGAAGCGCAATGTGTTACTCCTATATGAGGCAAGTCAAGGCCTCCTGGCAGAATCAGGACTGACTCCATAGAAGTGCAATGTGTTGGTTCTGTATGATGCCCACCCTAAGGCTTCCTGTCAGAATTGGTAGAACAACATACTTACTTGTAGGGTGGGGAGGAGTTGCTCTTTCCTTGGTAGAGTTGACGAAAGTGCTTTATGTACATGGCTACTTCCTGGCTTTCTTGAAATACTCACAAAAGACTATGTGGAATATCCCATCACGCTCTTTTCATCTTCTCTTATTAGCATGGGGCAGAAATGAGTCTTGCTAATCAACATCATTTTCTTTCCTTAATGCTCCCCCTTCAGTCCCGACTACAAATCCTGTCCCTTCCCTACTCATTGAATTTTTCATAGTAGATCAGCAACAATAACAGTTAGTTCTTATATAGCATTTTTCATCTGTAGATCTCAAAGTATCAGCCTCTGCCTCCAGTCTTGCTGCTCTGTTTTTCTGCTTCTCTCCCAGCTATCCCCAGTGTGGAACATCCTTACTCTGCTAGTCCTCTAAGACACACCTTTCTCCTCATTAAAATCCCTACCTCAGCATGATAGATCCTTTGGGCACTTCCACATGTCTTCATATCTAGTCCATGTGTGTGCAGGAGGGGGAAGTTTGAATTTGTTGTTATGGAATTGTAAATACCAGATGTCATTTAAAAGCTCAAGTAACAAAGTGACTCTCTAATGTGTATTTGTTAATGTAACTATCCTTTTGAACAGTTCTATAGTAATTTCCGTCTGTGCTCCACTTTCTAAATATTATTTTTCAGCTCAGAGGTGTTTACAACTGGGTAATCTTAATATTTATAGTGGCATTTATAGTGCCTAAAACAGACAGGAAAGTGCTTAGTAGATCTGTGGAAAAAATAACTTTTGATTAAATGTAGTATATTTCAGGCACATAGTATGTAAAATCAAACCCTCAACCTCTAGGATTTTCATTTGAATTGAAATTTGAACCTCAGCTAGACAGAGATCCGCCTCTCTTTTTGACTACGGGTCATTTGGAGTTTCCCTGGCCACGTTCTAATAGTTTTTTGCTGTTGTACTTTTTTTTTTTTTTTTTCATTTCTAAGTATTTGCTCAAATTACAAGATTAGAATCCAGTCTTGCGAGTTACCAAGCATAGTGCTTATGATTATGAATAACGCCTACACTTTGTTCAACAGTAACTATCAATAGAACTGGGCCCTCAGTGGTTAGGAACAGAGGGGCTGTACTAAGATGGATTATTCAGTAGTGTACTTTTGATACTACCGATGGATTTATCTATATTTGTACAAGAGCCTGGGAGTCTAAAGAAGTGGCTTCAAAGGAACCTTTGAAAATAATTCAAAATATTACATGATTTTTCATGTCCTTTATCCATGTTGCTATTACCCATGGTTTTAAAAATAATATAATTTGACCAGAATTAGCAATATGTTTTCTTTTTGTTTATTAATAGGAACATTAAACAGACCAGAAATAAAGGCAACTTAAAAAACAGAGATGACATTTGTATAGTGCTTTTCACATTGATCCCTTCACAGACTTATAAAGTCATAGTATATGTAAAAAACCAGCGCTGCACTTAGGCATACTTGACAGTCATCAGTGGACATTGAACTCAAGACCTGCACCGTTGAAAGTACAGGCAGGGCCGGCTCCAGGGTTTTGGCCGCCCCAAGCAGTGCAATCGCGATCTAAAAAAAGCCACGATCGCGATCTGCGGCGGCAATTCGGCGGGAGGTCCTTCACTCCCAGGCGGAGTGACGGACCCTCTGCCAAATTGCCGCCGAATACCTGGAACTGCCGCCCCTGTCCGGAACGGCCGCCCCAAGCACCTGCTTGAGAAGCTGGTGCCTGGAGCCGGCCCTGAGTACAGGCATCTAATGCTTCAGCTTAAAGTAGCAGCTGGCAGAAGGAAATACAGTAGATGGGACCGTCCACTAGAAGGAGACATGACCACATGCATGAATCCAGGCCAGTGTATTATACATACACAATTATCATAAAATACATATAAACATGAATAAAAGCCCTATACATCATAAGACACCATAATCACATTAGATCACAAGGGATTTTCAAGAGAGGATCATACGATTCTCTGCCTCCCTCCCCGCCCTTGTATGGCATGCAAGGGTTATGTTGTTAAATACCAGCCAAATTGGCCTGATAAGCCCAGAAGAGTGGTGGGGTTGGGAGAACAGCCAGGCAACATTCTTTAGCTTCCCCTTTGCAGGATTGCAAATGCTACGTTGTGCAGTTGTTTCTAGGTAAGCTTTAGTGGGGAGTGACTAGCAAGACAGGAGAGTAAGCAGAGCTGAGGACAGGTGCTCTATGTGGTATTGTGCTCAATCAAATCATCAAATTTAACCGGGAAGAGAGCTCCACTCTTTGGGACACTTTTCCCAGGCAGGCCACTCAGCTTGATGACCTGGAGAGACAGGGGAGCAAGAACAACTTTGGGCCTGAGGAGCCCTGCCCCAGCAGGCATACTGGGCATGCTCCGGTTGGAGAAAAGGCTTAAAAGGGAGTCTCCTCAGCACAGCAGGGTGGTGGGTGGAGAGAGACAGATCTCCCTAGGGAAAGTAAACCAAACTGTGGAGTTCTTTCAAGTTAAATTTGGTAGATTTATTATGGAGGGGTTATGCCAGGAGAGCATCCCCAGGAGGAGGACTGCTGCACGGAGCTGAGACTCCCCCGCCTGCAGAGGGCCATGGGTCGGGTTGCAGGGGACAACCACAAGCCACAACGTACCCTGAGGAAGGACAGAGCAGTAGGAAGAGACCCAGGAGAGTGTGTTAGCTGGACCACAAGTAGCAGAAGCCTTCTTTATGAGGATCTTAGAGTTGGAACCCAGTGTTGTGGTTGGGCTCAGGTTCCCTGATCTCCTACCACTAGGTAAGACTGTCACCACAGACTCTAACTGCTAGGTGGGGATGCACCCCTGCTCACACCTGGTCATGGAACTGCTACCTATTCAGAACAAACAGTTTTTGCAGATCTAGATCCTAGTCTTATTGCAGGCAATCCCTGGGCCTATTGCCACTGACTTCAAACAGGCCAATGTTTGGCTCTAATCCTTTGGAGCAGGAAGTCCTCACACTGAAACTTTTTTTATTTTTCCATTAAGAATTTCAGCTGTTGAAAATCTTTGAGCTTTGATTCAATTAAAACTCCAGACTGGCTTCTGCATCTAATCTGTATATATTTTTTAAACATATGCTTCCTCAGCTGGATGGAGTTTTATTGAATCCAGTCCTTCTGTGTGGCCCGAGCTGTCTCCTTTTATTTTAAGTAGAATTCCCATCTAACTTTTGCCCACAATTTTTTTTGTTTTTAATAAATAACCTCAAATCTACTTGAAAACTCCTGAATAATTAATATATAGACTCACTGTTGATCTATTTCTGTGTCTTTGACATTCCAACACCCTTTAAAACACTCTTGAGAAAATGCCGACTGAATAACAATGGGGAAAAAATATCTCATAGGCTTTGCTTCCTTATTTCAATACTTATGGAAACTATTTTATAGTAGATGCATGTCAGTTGTGAATGCCCTTTTCAACTCCTTTCCTTTAAATTGCTCGCCGTGACAAGGAGCATCTGGAAATAAAAAATGAGAACATGTTTTATAAGCTATACTTGAAACATTCTTTCTTCTAAATCAAATTCTTGTATATCGGATAATCACTCTGCTGGTCACACACAGATTCTATTAATTTATGACTGTACTTTATGTTTTACTGTTAAAAAAGATTTCATGTGATAAGAAAGTATCTTAGAGGTGCATCTTTCTTTGATGAATTCACATGTAATAAATCCTTCCATTTTTATCCTACATCTCACAGAGAATAATTTCAGAATTCCTAGGAATATAAACTAGTATCTTTTTTTTTAAAGAAAACCTGGACCAGCCACAACTGAGTAATCCCATGATCTCTCTCACCTGGCACCCTGTCTGCAACAGTGGCCAATGCTGATGCTTTAGAGAGAGAGGCAAAAAATCCATATAACATACTGTAATTTACTCCAATTCATGGAGTCACTGTGAGTGCTGTGCTACATAAATCCCCTAGTTTGGGCTCAGTACAGGAGTAGGTTGGTGAAATTTAATGGCCTATGGTATATAGGAGGTCAGACTAGATGATCTGATGGTCCCTTCTGAACTTAAACTCTCCGAATCTGTTTGGTAGCATGCTGGGTATGCCACACATTTGGGGGCAAGTGCTATAGGTGTTCCAAGCATTAGGTCCTTCAGGTGCTAACCTTTGGGGAGTTCCCATAAACCTTCAGAGTCTGATGAAAAACACGGGATATCTTACAAGGGCTGCCAGAAATGCACAGAGCAGTTACCCTGGGCACCCTTGCTTTAACCTACAAACCCAAGATGAACCAACAGTTCCTAACCCAGCCCTTAGGGGGAGTGCAGTACTGGGGTACAAAGGGCAGCTTCTCCTGTCTGGCACCAGAGATCATATTCTCTCCTTCTTCTTTCCCTGTATTGTTGATGCAGATTAGGAAGCAATTTTAACATTATCAGCTGTTACTTTTGCTGATATAGATGGAGATATAAAGAATAGCACCATTAGTGCTATTCAATACAATACAGAACAAGTGTTAGTACAAGTGGTGTCACCACTAATTTATTCTCATCCTGGAGATGGGAGACCATAGTATCATCTGTGAAATCAAATGTGTTGTTCTGCTTAGCATTTTGGAGCAGTGATCAATTGAAAAAGAAGACTAAACTAACTAAACCATTTTGGGGGAAGAGCCATTGTTGCACCTCTCAACAAGAACTTTATTTTGGCCCCATATTAAAATTTCATAAATTTAAATAAAGAAAGCTTTTATAAATTGATGAAGTGATTTAATTTTTTTTTAAATTCTAGTGAAAGCAAATTGTTCATAAAAAACCAAACACAAATGAAATACAATCATCATATCAGTAAGAACTGGAAAGGTAAATTGGCTGCAATATAAACAAAAGAAAAACAGATACAATTGACTTTTATTTTCCAGGCTGAGAGCAATGTAAATACATACAAAGTAAATCTGTGTGTTTTTACACTTCCAGTAATGTAAGGTGTTATTAACATATAATGTAACCAAATTTATTTGCCTGTAACTTAAGTTAAGAGTAGCTTTTTAATAAGGCATAGAGAAATATTGTTCTGATGTCTGGTTAGGTCTCAATAGTAGTCCTGCATCTCAGTCACATATTGCTCTGAGGGAGATTTCCCTTGAGAAATTCAGGTACAAAATAGGAAATTGGTGCATCATTTGATGAATCTGTACTTGGGTAAAGAGAAAAGAATCTAAGTACTTGATTTGAGGTTTAATGGGCAAAATTTTCTTCATGGAACCTGAAGTGCAAGGGGCAACCTGGTTTTTAGGAACTAGAGTAAGAATCAATTTCCATTCATTTTTCCTCACGTGAAAATACCTTTGCAAGGGTGACTATTTACTCTGTCATCTGCGTAGGGTATGCATGATTGTTTAACTCAGAGGCATAGAGTTTAAGGCCAGAAGGGACTACTAAATCCTCTAGTCTGCCTTCCTGTATAGCACAGGTCATCCACACCTGGACGCTACCCTGGATTGGTAGGTATTAGAGGGAGAGACAACAGAAACAAATAATCTGAGTGCTCAGGTGCCATAGTGTTCATCATTCCTTGGACTACAGTGCCCTCTGCAGACATCGCTGTTTAAATCAAAATTTCAAGCATCTTTAACTTAACTTTGGGAGCAAACCGCGGTTTATGATTAAAAGTCCTGTTATGTGGTACAATCAGGTATATTATGAAGGAAAAAAATCATTCTTCAGAAAGAAGAAGAACAGGAGTACTTGTGGCACCTTAGAGACTAACAAATTTATTAGAGCATAAGCTTTCGTGGACTACAGCCCACTTCTTCGGATGCATATAGACTATGCATATATATGTCTATATGCATCCGAAGAAGTGGGCTGTAGTCCACGAAAACTTATGCTCCAATAAATTTGTTAGTCTCTAAGGTGCCACAAGTACTCCTGTTCTTCTTTTTGCGGATACAGACTAACACGGCTGCTACTCTGAATTCTTCAGAAATATCTTTAAGACCTAGGAGAAAATATTCAACCTCTACAGGGATTATTTAGCAGTATCCAGAGACTGGGATGGTGCAAATGGGCATGGAGAAATCTCCCTCTCTTCCCCCTTCACTCCCCCCCGAACTCCTCCCACACACAGATTGAGCTTTGAGATCAGGGAGGGAACACTGCATGCTTTCGGGTCTGTGGACTCTAACTTGACAACTTTTTCTGTAAAACAATATTATGGTTCTGACCAATGTGACAAGCAACATGGTAATGTGTTAATTCATGCCTAAAGTCTAATTTCAGACACTTGAACCTTGAAAGGATGTCAACACAGTGTTCGGTTGTGCAGATTGGCACCGAAGGACATACAGTGAGCATTTATGATTTTGCAGTCAGATATCGGATTTGGATAACCGTTTGCTTTGGGTTCCTAGGGGGGCTAATTCCTGTCACTTTGGAAGTCATCTTATTGTGATTATTTTTAATACACACATACATTTTTTGTTAAGACTTCTTACTTTACAGTAGATCACATTAGGCTTACATTAAATTAAGTTACTTAATGCAATTGTCATCCATAGCTCTGAGGGATTCTACAATCCATTAGAAGGGTACTTTACCAATTCAATTACTAACTGTTGGGGATTTTTGGATTTGTTTTTTGTTTTGTTTTGCCTAGATCCTGATGAGTTTGAGAGGATATATGAGCCACTAGATGTGAAGAGTAAAAAGATTCATGTAGTGGATAGTGGGCTCACCTTTAACCTGCCATACCCCCTTATCTTAAGACCTCAGCGAGGTGTTGATCTCATAATCTCCTTTGATTTCTCTGCAAGGCCAAGTGACTCCAGTCCTCCTTTCAAAGTAAGTAAACCAGACCATTCCTTCAGTTTGTGTTATCATTTTTAAGGTGGTTAGGCCCAGATTCTCAAAGATATTTAGGCATCTAACTCCAGTTGATTTCAATGGAAATTATGCACCTACATATCTTTGAGAAGCTGGGCCATACTTTTTATCCTCCCATCATGCTGATGGCAAACTCCATTCTTGTGTGGCTTCCAGGCCCTTCCATTCACAGGGCTTTTTTAAAAAAGTCTTACTTTGGTGCCATCATGGCTCCAGCTCTGCAGTAATTGACTTTCACGTCAACAGTTTTCTACTCAGCCCCCAATTCTGTTCACTTTACTCAGGAGATTAATTCCACTGAAATAGAAGAGACTACTAGCAAGAGGAAGTCAGTGGGATTTGACCCTCAACAAAATGTCACTTGAAATAATTCCTCACCTGATTTTTTTGGAAACCTTGCCTGCACAATGACATACAGAATTTGTCCCTTAAATCTTTTTTTTAAAATAAACTACATGCCATGATCTGTTGTCTCCTCTTGTAAAAAAATGTTTATAATCAATATTAAGCAAATAAGTTACTTACATTTAATAATAATAAAAATAAAACAATATGACACAAATATAGAAGAAAATACTATATGGAAGTTCCATAATACAGTAGAATTACAATAAGCAAACATCCAGAAATCTGAACTGCTACTTCAGTCTTCTTTTGATGTCATGTGTATCTCATGTTAAACAAAATACAAAAGGATAAATTCTTAATGTAAGAAGTGAAAAACCTCCTTTGTTATCTATCATAAGCTACTCATTAGATCATCTATGGAACGTGTATCAGTACACTTAGGGTTTGTGTACACTGAACCACAGTGCGGGCTATGGGGATGTGAATTGCAGAGCACACCAAAGTGTTGCAATCTTACTGCTCTGTATGGATGCAGCTGGTGGAAACAAAAAGATTGCTAGTTCACATTAACGCAGTCTCTTTCAAACAGGAGTGGGCTAACGTGACCTAGATACCTTTTAGTTCATGACAGCAATGTCCACACGGGACAATTAGATCGCAGTACTTTGGTGCGTGCTGTGCAGTCCACACCCCCATAGTCTGCACTGTGGCGCAGTGTAAACATAACTTAATCTTAGTTTAAATACCGCTAGGTTGTTGTTATAAATAAATAGTTAATAGCGGTAATGTTTTCAGAAGTACCTGTCTTATTTTCAGACGTGACTGACATACTTAGGGCTGGATGCACCAAGGGGCTGGTTCTGATATTTATGTGATATTGAGATCCTCAAAATCTCCATTCAGCTACCACCTAAATTCCCTAGCCTCCTAAGGGCTTGTCTACACTTGAAATGCTGTAGTAGCACAGCTGTAGCGCTTCAGTGTAGACACTACCAGTGCTGACAGGAGAGGTTTTCCTATCCGCAAAGGTAATCCACTTTCCCAAGAGGCAGCAGATAGGTTGACAGATGAACTCTTCTGTTGATCTAGTGCTGTCTACAGCGGGGATTAAGTCCAGTTGGCCTGTTCAGAGTATACCCACTCGATCAGACTTTGCACAAAAGAAAGCCAAGGCTGACTGATCAGGAAGTGGCGGGAGGCTGGTTGAGGAGGCTGGAGGGGAGTGTGCGTGTGCACATATGTACATAGGTACCAGCTCAGTTGCCCAGTGGTAAGGGCTCTGACCTGGGATGTGGGAGACTTCAGATCCCCACTCTGCTTGATTTGGAGCAGGGACTTGAACCCAGATCTCCCACATCCCAGGATGAGCGCCCAGGCCATTGGCTGTCCCTCTCTTGTTTTTTGTGAGAAAGGGTTTAGGTGCCTTGCTCTAGGAGAAGGTTTACAGCTGTGAAGGCCAAGTGGAGATAGGCATCTTCATCCAGCCTGGAGTTAGTTACTTAATTACCTCTAAGGGGTGGGGCCTAGGCCACTCCCCTCTCCTCAGCATTTCCGATGGGCTACCTTATATGGCTCCCCCTTTCAGCATGCTGACTACTGTGAATCCCTCTCTGAGGCACCTAGCTCTCCCCATGCACTGTACAGGGAGTAGATGTGCCTAACTTGGGGCTGAGGATTCCACTGGATTGCCACACCTAAATCCTGCTATGGATTATTAACTTTTAATGAGATTTAGACTCTGACAGTGCCTGAGTCACTTTTGAAATTGAGACTTAGGCTCTGAAGTCACTTAAGCGCTTTTGAACATTTTACCCTAATGTAAAAGTATGATTATAGATCAGTAACTGGCCACAAAGGCTTTAAATGAAGAAATGGATAGAAATTTTAGGAGTCCAATTGTCGTGGCCTGGAGATTTTTCATCAGAGCAGTTCCGGTTGTTGTTCTTTAAAGTATCCAGCACCGTGTGATAGAGATTTAGAACACTCTTTCCCTTTGCCATTCTGACTTCTTTCTAGACAAGAGATTTTCAAACCAAATGAATTTCTCTGTCATTGGTTTAGACACGGAGGACCTGGTCTGACTCTCAGTGAATTCAATGGAAAGGCTGAGAAGTGGATCAGACATTATGACTTCTTCAGAAACTCCCTGCCAGAAAGCAGGTTTTCTTTATAATCCGAAAGTTAACAATTTCTCCAGCTCTAAGAGGAAGTCATTTCCATTTATTATGTTATTAATTAATCATTAATATAATGTTGTTATATATTGAGCATCAAGCATATGCTTGACACTGCACCAACATGGGTCCCTGTCCCTTGTAATGTAAAATCTAGTGCACTGATGTGAATTCAGTAGCATTGAATGGGTATAACTGAGATGAAAATTTGGCACTGTGTCTACAGGATTAATGGGGCTATTCTTCAAAAATAGATAATGATCGTTATCACAGTTCAGGGCAACTGCACCTATATCCCTCTCTGTGGTCTAGCAGGAGCACCCACTCTAGCAGCTTCTGGCTCCCCAGCTGTCACCTCTCTTGGGCATAAGAATGGCCATACTGGGTCAGACCAATGGTCCATCTAGCCCAGTATCCTGTCTTCCGACAGTGGCCAGTGCCAAATGCTTTAGAGGAAATGAACAGAACAGGAACAGGCAATCACTGAATGATCCATCCCCAGTCGTCCACTCCCAGCTTATGGCAAACCAAGGCTAGGGACACTCAGAGCATAGGGTTGCATCCCTGACCATCTTGATGGAAAGCTGCTTCTTTCTCCCTCTTGACCAAGGTATTTCTAGGCTGCACAGGCCTGCACTGTGAATTCCCTAGCAAGTCAGACTGCCTCAGCAAGCTGCTTTACCTTCTTCTCAGAGGCTATAAGCAGTGTAAATGCCCACCATTTTAAGTTGCCACACCGTTTTTTTTCTAAGCAAGCACATTTATTCTTGTGGTAAAGGCATTACAGAGAAAACTTATTATAAACAATAAAAGAGCCTACATGTATGCTAATAAGCTAACTAGAGATCACCTTCTATCTCCACAAGCGCTTTGGTCAGTGTGAGTGCTTCCAACTCTTCCCAGCAGATTGGGGCCCACTCTTGAACAGAAGGTCCTCTCTATTTGCTGGGCCAGAAAGATGGTCCTGTTGTGATTCAGTTTAAACTCACACTATTTATCCAAAAATCCTTTGTCTGTGGTATCTCTCTGGAGGTGTTACAACCTAAGTAAATTTGCCTAAGTCCTCCCTTTCCTCCCCCCCCCAGTTCTTAGCTCTAGGGAAGGGACTGTCATTACTCTCCCCTATGGAATTACATACAATCCCTGAGTCACAATGATACATAGATTTGATACAGTAAGATTTTCCAAAGAGTTTGGAGGAAATTGCTATATCTGTTACAATAATGATGATTAGGTAAGAGGAAGTCTGCAAAATGGATTGCATGGTGTCATTCAAAAGTGAATCAGATATTCTGTTAGAAAGTACTTTCAGGAAAGTGACCCAGCCTGATAGATGGGGTTGCAGAGTGAAAATTATAGCAGTTTGAGAACTGTTGGGCCCTGATCTTCCTTTACACTGCTACATGCATTTTCAGGCCCTTTTACTCTGCCAGAGTGATGTAAAGTGGCTGTAGTATACATGAGTCAGGTCCTTTGTATTCATGTAGGAGTTAGGTGAAGTCTACAGTTTGTTTGGGAAAAGGGAGGTAGACGTGTACGCCAATCTTACTGTACCACAAGAGTCTCAATCGTATTAGAAATAGCATGAGAAAGGTCCAAGTTTATAACTATTGCATGTTATAACTACTTAAGAAGGTGGTTGCTGTGTAGCTGCGTAAGAATTCTTAAGATTAAACACATACACATTACCAGCTGGAAAGAATGTAATAGTTGGAATATGAACCAGAATTCCTATGCTGTAGCTTCATAGAGCAACTCCATTATATGACGTAGGGAATGTCTCTATCATCTTGTAGAGATTTATCTTTGTTCAGTCATTGCAATACAGTTGATCATACAATATGTTGGAAGTGAAGCAGACTTTTCAGTTGTGCCATTGCCAAAGTAAGCCCCGTGTTTCATCTAGGATTTTCTAAGAATAGTCCCATCCAACCTAAACTAAAGTACTCACTGCAAAATAAAGGTTAAATGACATTTATTATTTCTTAAGTGGCAAGAGTGGAATGCCTGATCCATTGCCTTTGCAATCTAAGCAGACAGACAAAACATGCAGACAACTCTAAATGACCAGAGAAAGGTTTATGTCTTCCAGGAATGTTAAAGCCAACAGAAAAACAACAATAGGAAGGAAATTTTCATGGGATACTTAAAGGGACACCATCAGTTTGAAATCCTAGTCAGTTGTTAAAAGTGAGCTTAAAGTAGTGTCAGGGAATACATCTGTTTTGGAGACCCACTGAAAATTGTTGTGGTTTTACAACCACATTGTCGATTAAAAAAGAAAGATTTCTCTCTCCTCTGCTGCCATGTGTAAGAGCCACTTAAACAACACTGACCATTGACTATGTTGGGAAACAGTAATATGAGCTATAGACAATTGCAAAGAATAAACAAACTGAAAAAATAGAGAACTTCTCTCTAATCTCTTTCAAGTACAGTAATTAGGTACTATTTGTAACAATAGTAGGTTAAAAAACTCAAACTGTCCCTGTACTTGGCATGCTGCTTAGATCTTCCCTGCATAAACACCCCACCTCGACTTAATTGACTGAATTCTGAAGTCTAATGCTTAATTAGGCAAAATTCACTTGCAAATTTCGCCCATTTTTTGTCATTAAGGGCGCATAGGGTCCATTGTCCTGATTAGCTAGTATCATTGACTTGTAAGGTCATTGCCACTGAGACATCTTTTCTTTTCTCTCATTTTTATGTTGTCTGTGCAAGGTTTTAAGTGCCTACTCCTGTACTGCTCTTTGTGCATTGAGCTTTCTGTCTGTTGGTAGGTATTTTGCATGCAGATTGGAAGGTAGCATATAGCAACATTAAGATATTTATTAAAAATAGCAAGAGGGTTTCTTGCACTTTTAGACCTTCATATAAATTCCATCAAAAAACTCTAAAAGCCATTTAGGAGTTTGGCAAAGAACAAAAATGAAATGCATCAAGTTTTGTCTCAAAGTGATCTCTTAAAAGACTGAACTATTAATTCTGAACACTGAAGTGTATGACAGAAATACTGACATACCTCTACCTAGCAAACAGCTATAATCTGTAGACGGTAGTTTTCTGCTAGCCACTTTCACTCTGCCAAAAAGGACCTGAGCCAAATTCTGCACTGATGTGTACACTTTGTGCAGCTCCCACTGACTTGCTTTTCACAGAGCACACATCAGTGCAGAATTTGCCCTTTGTTTGCAATAGATTTGAAATATGTCTCATCTCTTCAAAATATAGTGAAATCTGCCAGCTGAAGACAATGACTATATTCACCCATTATTATTTCATACCCACTGCCTTTTAGTCTCTTGCGTGTTCAAAATGGTTTCCCAAAGGAAAATCCTATTTTGTTCTGATTATATTTAGATAACACATGGTTAAATATAGACTGATCTTCCCTACCCTCCCACAATTCGCCCACATTATGTGCTTTTGAGTCATTGTCTGCAAATGATTTTGTTTACTTCTCTGTCCTGAGAAGAAAACATACTTTTTTCCAGGTTTCCATCCTGGCTGTAGCATGATTTTAAAATGCAATTCTGCTTGGAGAAGTAATTCTGTAAATGTAGCGTTCTGTGGATCAGTGTTGATTAAATCTCTTTGGTTTCCATAGCAGTGGTGGCCAGCTTAAAAATAAAATTATGGGTGGGGTTTTTTTTTAACCGTCAGCAAAACAAACTGATCCTAAAATCTGAGAGTCAAGATGAGCTCTCCCCTTTTTTGTGAATTATCACTAGTAAAAAGGTTGTGTGGGCCAAATTAGGCCCTGAATTACAGCTGTGCAACCCCATTGTCTTCAAATAATGTCTTCAATGGCAGTTGTGCAATCCCATTATTTTCACTGGGTTCACACAGATGTAACTGGCTTTTTAAACAATTTTGATGATGATACTGAAGGTGGAATTCAATTTCGCTCCTCCTTGGTTGGCCCTGCAAGAGTTACAGGGGTAAAAAATCATTTTTAAAATGTATTTTTATCAATAAAGTCATCAGATATGAGTTTCTGGGGAACAGAGTTGCATAAGAAAATTAATTTGGAGACCTGTTTTTAAGAGTGGAACTTCACTTTAATGATTTGGGATTGAGCAATCTTTGAAGGAGAGCCTACACTTCAAACCAAAAGTTGTTTGTGTTTAGATATCAAGCCCAATTTGGCAACGCCTCACTCATGCCAATACGCCTGCTGCAGTCAGAAAGCAATGGTTTGTAAGATTGTTCCTATCTTTGTTTATCTCTGTGACCCTCAATAGAAAGTCCCCAACTGTGATGGCTGTTTGTAAACTTTGAAACTTTATTTCCTTTTTTAGGAAATTTTGCTTGCTGAAAAATGGGCCAAAATGAACAACCTTCCTTTTCCAAAAATAGATCCACATGTGTTTGATCGAGAGGGCCTGAAGGAGTGCTATGTTTTCAAACCCAAGAATACTGATACAGAGAAAGACTGTCCAACCATCATCCACTTTGTTCTGGCAAACATCAACTTCCGGGAATACAAAGCTCCAGGTGTGTTCCTAATAGACACTAAAAGACACTAAAATTTGGCGTTCCTGGAAACAATAAATTAATATATCAGTTGTTACATTGTGAATACTTTTTATCAGAAATACCTAGAAATCTTTCCATAATTGCCATGAATTTCCAGAGCCCCATATAAAAGCAAGTTATTGTTATATAATTTATACTTCATCTCTTAAAACTTTTCCTTTTATTTTTTCAAAATGATAAAATTTTGTGTCTGTTTTTTGTTGTCTCTATAGGTGTTCCAAGAGAAACTCAGAAAGAGAAGGACTTTGCTGACTTCGATATTTTTGATGATCCTAATACGCCGTTCTCTACCTTCAACTTCCAATATTCCAATGAAGCTTTCAAAAGGCTTCATGATCTAATGGAATTTAACACTCTGAATAACTTAGACGTAAGTACAGTGTAAAATGTCTGATTTACACCAGTTCAGAGGTGCTTTCGAGAGTCCACTTAGTGATGGGATTAACTAGAGATGAGAATAACCCCCTAAATTTACTGGCTAAAAATCTTCGATTTTTTTTTTCTGCCTGTGTGCGGAAAAGTGCAAACTTGCACAAAAAAGGTATTTTTATATGCAGTTAGCTATGCTGTTTTGCATTAATCTTTTTTACACAATTCACAAAGGAAGCACAGCCCAACTAGTAAGATGGAAAAGTTCACTTTCAAAAAACAAAGCCAGTTAACCTTTAAGGATCCTATACTGCCCTTGATTTGTGTGCAGAATCCTATTGATCTCAATGGAAGCTCTACAGACCAATTTGAATGTAGAACACTACCTATAACAGGGAAGATAAATAGCACCATCTCCCAGCTTTCTCAGTTACTGGCCAAATCAGCATCTTGATAAAGGCAACTGACAAGACCAAGTGACGCTGGTAGGGAGAGGGAGGGGACAGCTTGTCTTCTCCATTATGGCTCCCATTATTAATGGCGTCTTGGTTCTGGAAAGAGACCGAATGGCCATGATGACAAAAAATGCCAATTTCCATGTGCGGCTAATTGTGTTCATTAGTACCAGACACAAACCTGTCCATGGCCTTGGTGATTTATTTTTACTTCCAAACTTGTTTATTGCAATACATGATATTTGTGGCAAGCCACACACTGAAAAAGCTCCAGTGAGTTAACTAGCATCCCGTCTGCCTAGCAACTCTGGACTCACTGTAACACTTCAATCAGTGCTCCCTTCTGTACTGGCTCCCCAGTGAATACAGACTGGTATCTCTGTCTTGATATTCAAAGCACCTGCATGGGATTTGGTCCTAGTTCACTGAGAGATCACCCTGGACCCTTCACAACCAGGATGCTTCATTTCACTTGAACTCTGAAGCAGCTGGACCAAGATGAGGGAATTGACCTCAACATTTTCAAATTTTAAGGGCTGGCTCACGGCCCATTAAAGTCAATGGAAAGACTGACATTGATCGTAATGGGAGTTGGGTAAGGCCCTAAATGAAAAATGTTCAATTAAGCTTTTCTGGATAAGTTCTTTATGAACTTATGCTTCCATGCAATGCACACATAAACACAAAAACTGTGAACTGGTGGAGTTATTTCCCTTGCAGACTGGGAAGGGAGGGAGAAAAGAAGTAGCTGTTTCTATTTTAACTGCTTAGATACTATACTGATGGGGTCCTGTATAAAATGGGGAAAGAGATGGATGAGATGGGCAGTGAGATTCAGAGAGGAGAATTTTGCCCTTTCTTTTGGCATCTGGTCTTAAAGTCTGGAATTCCAGAGCTGCAGTAAATACAGACATACATGATGATCTCTTCTTGTAACTGTGTAAGCTCCAAGGTAATCATGCTGCTGAAATAACAGAGATATTTTCCATTAAAAAGAAACAGCTAAAGAATGTCTCAGGAGCTATAGATCCATAGAAATATAGGGTTGGAAAGGATCTTCAGAGGGTATCAAGTCCACCCCCTGTGCTGAGGCCTAGACCATCCCTGACAGGTGTTTGTCCAACCTGTTCTTAAAAACCTCTACTGACAGGGATTCCACAGCCTCTCGGAAGCCTATTCCAGAGTTTATAATCCCCAGATCCTTTTAAGCAGCATTACTACCTAGCCAGTTATTCCCTGTTTTGTAGTTCTGCATTTCATTTTATATGTGTATGAAGATTATTTTAATGTACTGGTAGTTTCCTGCCATAACAGAAGAATTGGATAGAGTGTAACGAAATCTATAATGCTTTTCATGTCTGAGTTCCTGTGCTTGTTCAGGGTTCATTCCAATTTGGGTTAATATTCTAATCTAATCTGTTTTTTGTTTTCACTGTTCCATGATTGCAATATCTGAGCTCCTCCCAGGTAACCTGGTGAAGCCATTTGGTTCAGTGACCTAGGGGAATAGGAGTGAAGTTCTGGAACAGCCTTCCAAGGGAGCAGTGAGGGCAAAAAAACTAATTGGCTTCAAGACTGAGCTTGATAAATTTATGGAGAGGATTGTATGATGAGACTGCCTGCAATGGCATGTAGCTGATTTGTGACTGCTAGCACCAAATATCTCCAATGGCCAGTAATGGGACACTAGATGGGGAGGGCTCCGAGCTACTGCAGCGAATTCTATAGATGTATGACTATTGGGTCTTGCCGAAATGCTCAGGGTCCAACTGACTGCCATGTTTGGGGTCTGGAAGGAATTTTCCCCCAGGTCAGATTGGCAGAGGACCTGAGGGTTTTTTGCCTTCCTCTGCACGAGTCACTTGCTGGTTTAAACCAAAGTAAATGGTGATTTCTCTGTATTTTGAAGTCTTTAAATCATGATTTGGGGACTTCAGTAACTCAGCCAGAGGTTATGTGTATATTAAAGGAGTGTGTGGGCAAGGTTCTGTGGCCTGCAATGTGCAGGAGGTCAGACTAAATGATCATGATGGTCCCTTCTGGCCTTAATCTATGAGATGTATTCTGAGCTCTGCTACTTACTTTGCTGTGTGACTTTGAACAAGTGATTTCACCACTCTGTGGTTCTGTTTCCTCATCTGAAAATGGGGATAATGACATTTGCCATTTTTGTCAAGTGGTCTGAGTTCTATGGATGAAAATTGCTATATAAGATATATAATTCTTAAATAATTCTTTTGTAAATGAGCTCAGAATCAGTCTGCTAGAGACTGATTTGTTCTGCTGAAACTGTAATCACTAAATGCTTTTAAGTTTGAGCTAAGGAAATAAAAGTAAAATTTAAAACAGAAGTCATATTAATGATTTAACGTTACCATTAAATCAGAATATTCTTGCAGAGTTTGATTTACACCCCAAAATCAGATATGGACCAAATTCTGATTTCATATACTGCAGTGTAACTCCATTTACTTCAGTCATTACACCTGATTTACATTACTTTAAACAAGATCAGAATCAGGGCCCAAGTATATTTTTGTTCTAGTGATTTCACTCAACAGTTGTAAATTTTTTCTGCTGCAAGTTTCAGATCTTTGTAATAAGTACATGATCAAAATATGCCACCTAGTGGCTAGATTGCCTTCTACTTTCAACATCAAAGAATTAGGATTTTTAACACAGACATTTTTTAAAGACAGTCTTCCTCTTTTGTGCTGTATAATTTTCTATAGCAGGCACGGAACATTATTTCATAACAAGATTGTCTACATAGCAGAATTGAAACAGCAGATGAGAAATGTTTACATGACTAATTCATGAGGTTCTTCAACTAATTCAGTTAGTAGTGCAGACATTCTCTTTAGATGATCCATGGAGTATGAAATCAAGCCAAAGTAGATGATTTTAGCTTTCTCTTTCTTTTTAGCTGCTGCTGCTGCTGCTCTTGTGCTCTTCCCTTTTTGGCAGAGTGAATATTTGAGTTTGCAGTGATTTATAGAGGGAAAAAAAAACCTGACCTTTTTGCCTCCCCAGACTCTTGCATATCCTGGCAAATGACCTCTTTAAATGGACATTCATTTGCTTTTTAAATTGAGATGGGCAATCTGCCACCACTTTATGGTTCTTTCTGACAATCCTGGCTATTCCTCCTTTGACTAGTGGGTCCTGTTAAGTCCTCACAGCCATTAAGTTTATTGTTGTATTTTTGATCAAAGGGTAGACACATTGCATGGACCAAAGGCTTATGGGACTCTTAGTGTGACCAAAATGAGGGTAAAGGCAGGATGACCTAGTAATTAAACTGTGGCAAAATAGTTCCTCACTTTATACTCAGGACACACTAACTTCTTTCATTATCATTTATCAGGATAGAGCCCCAAAATAAGACACTTCGCCGGTGTTTATTTGTCAGGTCTTTTAGTGCACATTGTTGATGCTACCATGATAAAAGGACTGTATTAGGACAAATCATAATTCATAATAAGCTACCATATTATACAGCCTTCTCATTTCAAAATTCTCCAGTCTTCCAGTTGTCACCTATATTTTATCAGAGGTAACTATTTAAAAAAAAACAACAAACTAGTGATTGACCATAAGAGATTGAGAAGTAGTTAGGATTCTTCTTGCGGGAGGTATGTGTGTGGGGGGAAGGAACGATGTTCTTTTTTTCAAAAATTTCAACATATGGTCTGTTTATTTGTTTTTAAAGCCCTTTCTCCTAAGCAATACTGGCTTGCTTCTGGTATTAAGAGCAACAGTTGTACAAGCTGATATGGCTTTTTGCCATCAGTTAAAGAACGACCTTCAGTGTCAATTCTTTGCCCTGAACTTTGACTCTGTTTTACAGGTGATGAAGCAAGCAATAGTGGAAAGCATTGAATACAGAAGACAGAATCCATCCCGCTGCTCTGTGTCCCTCAGCAATGTTGAGGCAAGAAAATACTTCAACAAGAACTCTCCAAGCACTAACCATACATAGGATATGTACTGCAGGTGCCACTCCTTCAAGAAATTTGCTAAATCTACGTAACTGGATTTGGACATGCGTTACAACATACCATTGCTCAGGTGAAGGGGCCATGCAAAACAGAGGAAAGCATTTTTTGTGAAATTTCATGTTTCATTGTGATTTGTACTTTTTTACATTTTTGTTTTGCATCTACAAACATTTACAAAATTCCAGCATAAATTGCCATTTCTTTATTTTAAAAAATACAGAATTGTGCATGCTTTGGATGCAAAGTAATTTGGTTCAAAATGCTCCTATTTTTGTAAAACATCTGCCAATTTCATGAATATTTTCTCTCAATATTTTCCATTTTAAATGTTTGTTAAAGTGGCGACTGTGCCCGGGTTCCTGGAAGGGCCACACTGAGAATTAATCAAACCAGTAACAAAACAGCTTTTGTAATACCACACTGGTTAACCAGAAGCCAAACACAATCCCCTGTAAACATTCTAGCCCTTGGCTCCCATCCAGACAACCAAGTCTAATACAGTGAGGGGTTACTGAAAACCCATTTCATTATATGTGAGGTTCTTTCTAATCCCAAAAGATCAGATACATACCTCCAGGTCAATATGAATCTCACTCAGATACCATGCTGTCAGCCAATCTTTAGTAAACAAACTAAAGTTTTAATAATAAAAGAAGAGAGTTATAAATGGTTAATAGATCACATACATGCAAATAATTCCAAGTCCTTATATCAAGTTTGTAGCAATGATGGAATAGATCAGGGTGGCCAACCTGTGGCTCCGGAGCCACATGCAGCTCTTCAGAAGTTAATATGCGGCTCCTTTTATAGGCACTGACTTGGGGGCTGGAGCTACAGGTGCCAACTTTCCAATGTGCCAGGGGATGCTCACTGCTCAACCTCTGGCTCTGCCACAGGCCTTGCCCCCACTCCACCCTTCCTGCCCCCTCCCCTGAGCCTGCTGTGCCCTCATTCCTTCTCCCCCCGCCCCCCGAGCCTCCTGCATGCCACAAAACAGAAGATTGAGAGGTGATAGGGAGGGGAGGCGCTGATCAGCAGGACTGCCGATGGGTGGGAGGTGCTGGGAGCCGGGGGGGGGGAGGGGGAGGACAGAGCTTATGGGGGGCTGCGGACATATTACTGTGGCTCTTTGGCAATGTACATTGGTAAATTCTGGCTCCTTCTCAGGCTCAGGTTGGCCACCCCTGGAATAAATTGATGGCTTATAGAGTCTCTCTGGTATCTGCCAAAAGATTGGAAGGTCCTCAGTTCAAAGTTCAAGATGCTCCTTTTAGTAATCCAGAGAATTAGGGCAGGAAATAGGCAAAATGGAGATATCTCAGGGTCCTTTATATCTTCTGCCATGTGCTTGGAATTTTACTGTCCCAAACAAAGCCCACTGTCCCTGTTTGTGGAAAGTTACTGGCCTAACATGGAGTCCAGGGCCACATGAGCATATCATGTGCCTCTACATGTTTTGCTGAATCACATGGAGCGGCCATTGGCTCCTTTCTGGCTGAGACATCCTCAGGAAGAGCTATCTGGATGGGATGAGTTTCTTAAATGGCCCTTTGTGAGAGCTGAGTTTCCTCGATGGGCCATCAATACATAGCTGTCTGGCCCTAATGTAAGTCCTATCTGCAGGATGTCACACAAGAATATAACACAGGTTTAAGATAACAGCACATAGCCAATATTCATAACTTCAGATACAAAGATGATACATGCATACAAACAGGATAATCATACCTAGCAAATCATAACTTTTTCCCTTGGCACCTTACATGATACACTGTGTATAAGATTTACAGAAATTGTGTTAGAGTGGTAAGAACAGTGATATAAATGGTCACCTTTCTTATAAACAGCATCACAGTGCCATTTTCAAATATGTGACAAAATATAAAAAACTTGGAATGCAGACTCTTGTGAGATAAATTTTACACACCTGTACAATTCAGGATGAATTATTTTACTACATAAAGGCACTGACTTTCTTCAACACAATAAAACATTAAAGGTATGGATTTCATGGCTCTATATACTTAAGCTAGAAGCTAAGGCCCAGATCCCATTCCACTTTATATCAATGGTAAAATTGTTATTAACTTCAGTGTAAACAGGGTTGGCTCCTTACTCAATATCAACTTCCTAATGTATAAAATTTCTCAGCAGTTGCCAATTATTAGAGCTAGTAATGTTGATTCTTCCTATAGATTTATTTTATAGATAGCCCTTCCCTGATCACTGCTCTCCGTTGGCCAGACTGACCATGCCAAAAATCCAGTATACAAAATCCCTAAGGGAGCTGCATTTCAAACTTCGTTTTTCTTGCACAAAGAACATAGTGATATCTCTTTAAAAAAATAAAAAAGAAAGAGAGATTCTTATAACTAGTGGGAGAAAGATATTTTTAATTACCTTTACTAAAGATTATTGGTCCCATTTTCAGTTTGTGTAACTTACCACTGACTTTAATGGAGCAATGACAATTTGCTTTAGCTGAAGTTCTGTCCCCAAAACATTTTGAATTTTAATCTTGAGTATTTTCACAAAAATTAATGGCAGTTTTCCAGAACTATTCATTAAGGCAGCCTTCCATGTCCTCAGTGATTCATGTCAGTAAGTGTTAACGCCTGATGATAATTTTTCAATGATTCACATACCTATTCAGGAGCAGAAAACAACTTTAGCACTTCAGAGAACATGGATTTTCACAGCAAAGATGATTTAAGCAAAAGGATTAAAATTTCTAGGTGACAATGAAAAATTCATCACTCCTTAACTAATGTAATGTTTGAAATGTAACTTTATGTTTGTCAATGATGTGTGTGTCTGTGTATGCGCCCGTGCACACGTTTCTAAATTTCTCCTCAGGAGCTGATATTTTCTGACATATACCACTTAAACTGCAGCCATGGGGGACTATGTTAGTGATTAATTTGGAAAAGCACCAAGCCCTGTAGTTATGGGAATAAGAAATGCTTATACTCTAAGGTCAATTTCTGCTAGTATTTCTTTTTTTCAAAAACTGGCTGCATTTGGTGTGCAGATTTTACATGCTTTCTAAAATGAAATACAGATATAGGGCAATGAGAAGTTTGTCACAGAAAATCTCCATGTGGTTAGCACTTGAGAACTGACATTTCAACACCAGGTGCAGCAACAAAATTCCAAGATAAAGTGACTTGAGTTCACATCTATGGACAAATTCTGATCAGATTTTCTCTCCCCGCGATAGCACCCAAGCCCTGGGCATGGGCTGTGAGGCAGCACAGAATCTGTCTCACATTTTTGACCTGTCCTTTGCACTTAATTAACTTGTCTGTTACCCTCAACAGCCCTTCGCCAATCTCTAAAAAGTACTAGGACAAAATTATATCCTCAGGTGTGCGTACACACAGTTCCAATTGAATCTTAGCTATTGAAGTAGGGCTGTCAGGAGGATAGACAAGTAACCAGTAGGCTTAAAAGCTTTTGTGAGGATGAAGGTATGTCAAGGCTCCTGCTGTGAGAAGAACTGTGTGAATAAGGCCCTTGTTGTTAGTGAGGGAGGAAGGTTTTCTGTATGAATTTATTATTATTTATTAGTTTTATTTGGATAGCACTCCAAGAGCCCCATGTGGATCAGGGTCTCATTGTGCTGGGCACTGTGCAAGTGCACATAAAGATGTGATCATTGCCCTAAAAAGCTTACAGTCTGATTTAAAACAATGCAATGAGGGGGTGTAACAATCACTACAGGGAGGAGGGAAGGAGCATGATGAGGATGATGAGATCTCATGGTGACATAGGTTACCTGTGTGCACAGCTTGATGGTTGTGAATTAGATGAAAGGGTGTCTGGTGTACTTCTAAAAATAAATAATATCATAGAATCATAGAATATCAGAGTTGGAAGGGACCTCAGGAGGTCATCTAGTCCAACCTCCTGCTCAAAGCAGGACCAATCCCCTCTCTCTTGAGCTCTCACTTGATTGCCACTCAGCCCAGCAGTCATTAGCTGGCTGATTTCACATAGGTGTCACAGCAGAAGTGGCATTTGAAGTGGAAGAGGGTAGTGGATTTACAGCTTTGTTCAAGGAGGGTTTGCTGTGTGTGGTGAGCAGTGCAGTAGGAAACAGACACTTGTGGGAGAACCAGAGGTAAGCATTCCAGGCTGGAGCTCAAGAACTTTATCAAACCTTTTTCCTGAGAGGTCCTGGCTTACACACTATGAGCAGAGTTAAGCACATGCTCAAGTCTTTGCAGGATCAGGGCCTCAGATTGTAAACGCTTCAATGCAAGGACCTTGACTGAAATCTAAAGTCACTGACAAAACTATTGACTTCAGTGGGGCCAGGAATTCCCACCTTTATCTTTTTACTTGTGCATTAGGTTCCCACCAAACTTGGCACTGTATAAATAATGAAAATCACAATTAGCAACACTGCTTCTTGCAAACCCTACTGAAAGCTAATCTGATTTTTTATTTGATAATTCTCACAATAAACAATTTTTACAACAACTGCTCATTCATCAAAGAGATTACTCTTAATCCAATGGCAGTTCCTTTTATTGTGAGTTATAGCACCATTTTTAATTGTCTAAGATCTTCATACCCATGAGGAAGTAAGCAATTATAATGAAATTCTCTTAATAGTTACTGCATCATCCCTCCTTAAATTTACATGTAATCCTAGGTAATTAATAAACACTTCCCTTATTGAGGAATAGGTTTTATTTGTGTTTGAATTAGTACCTGTTTAAAACAAGAGCGAAAATAAAGGTAATTTATCTTACCGATGCATAATTTAAACGTTTGCAGCAAATGATTGAAAACAGGAAGAAGCTGGTACCACCTTTATATTGTAATATTTTTCTTTTCTAAATATATTGTTTTTTCTTTTGGTTAACATGATAATATTTTTATTTCATAATATATATTTTTGTGATGCTCACAAAGTGTAAGATTTATATTATCACATTATTATGTTATCAGATGGCAAAATATAAATAAAACTTGGTTGTGGCATTCGTTGTTTCAGGAGGCATACATTAATTCTCAGACACTGCACTGTACATTACATTTCATCGTGATACGGGCTCAGATGTGCTGAACTAATGAGAGTGGAAACCAATGGGACTTATATGAGCAAGGCATGCCGGTACAGCTGGTCCATAACAAGCTGTAACTTCTGTGAAAATTTTAACTAAAATGTCTTTTTAGTTGAAATTCAACCTTTAGTTAAAGAATTGAATTTTGGAAAATTTCAACCACCTCTGGGAACAGATCTGGCCCATGATTATCCTTGTCAGAGGGGTGTTAAAACGTCACTCTGGGAGAGATTCTGTGCTGTCTCTAAGGCTCATGCCATTGTTGGGATTCTAGAAAAGGTCAGCCCTGGTCTTGGGGAATGAAGGCAGGTGAGCTGAAGGGCTCCCTTTCCATGACTGAGAGTCAGGCACAGGAAATGTGGCAGAGAGGCCAAGGGAGGAAACAGTGCTGCATCCTGCTGAGACCCAGAGAAGCTTAAAGCACATGGGAGATTCAGTATCTGGATCCCCTCACAGCAGTCTGGTGAGCTGGCGGCACAAGGGGTCTAGATCTATGGCAACTCACTTTTCTGATGGGAAGGGAACACTTGAGTGTTGTAAATCTTTTCCGGAGGGACCATTTTATTACCATATGGCAGCCAAGGCTGTCAGTCTGACACTGGCCATCACCACTAGGGCAGTAAAATATTAGACAAATCAAAACTCTCAATAATATTTTAACATGAATGAGTGCAGGACAGACCTTTCCAATAATTACACCAGCAGATTTTCTTGAGTCCGCATGGATAACAACCTGGTGTTACTGTGGATTTAAAACGAAAAGGACTTA